CCTACGGGAATCACGGTGCGCGCCGTAAATTTGTCATCAGGTTCCGTAATTTTGGATTACGTAACTTCGCAACGTGTCGTTATTGGTCAAATACAGCACTTATGACTTTCACTCTGAAGGACGCGGGCTATATCTGTACGGTCTGGCCCGTAAATGAAATACTTCTACATACGGCAGGTTTTGGAGAGTGGAACTCTTGCGCAGTTTTTAATACGCCAGTATGAACAAACTGCTGTAAAATGGCGCATTAAAATTGCGTAAGCGAGCGCGGAGCAGGCAACAAAGAAAACAAAACAGTAAGAGATGGAAATGAAAATGCTTACAGTGTACTTTTTGGTGTCTTGTGCGGATCCGAAATTGGGCCGAATATTATAACAAAGTGTCGAAGGTGCTCGCGTGTGCGACCCCCCCCCCCCCCCCCCCCCCCCCCCCGTCCTTTCCTCTAGCCTCCAACCTACCCTGCTATCGCCTTTCAGATTAGCTGCGGCTGCACTTGAAAAACAAAAAGGTGTGCCAAGTTCTTACCTTTAAAACCTTCAGCACCTTTAGGGCTCGTCTGGTGCCTTTATAGAGGCACTAAACTGAAAAACTCAAAGGGTGTTAAATGTTAGTCCCCTTTCTGAGGGTGCTTAGCGGTAATGCCTTCGTAAAGGCATTAAAACCTGTTCTGTCCCCTATCCGTTATTTTCCCAATGCAGAAAAAAAGAGGAAAAGTACTGAAAGTCAGTGCGTCGTGTGCCTTTTTATTCAGTCCAAAATAGTTTAACAGTGTCGCTTTTTCATCCGCCTTTTTGCTGCATATGGATGGGTCGTTTTACGGAAGTTTACTCCGGAAGTAACACTCACCCCCGTGTACAGCCCGGCCGAGATGGCATTCCTATTTTATGCTGTTTTTGGCCTTCAAACGCCAAACAGCGACTCGATTTTGAATTTGGCGCCAATCGGCGGCACTGACCACGGAAAGAACCAGTTTATTTTTTCTTAATTAAACTGTTCAATCTATTTTATCTATTTTCTTTTCTAAGTGAATTTTAAACCTAAACACTGTTTTTCAGCAAATTTCCTGATTTTACGACCAAAAAGCATAAAATCGCATAAAATCGTACAAAACGAAGCATAATCGATGCATAATTGACCCATTTTCAGAGCATATTTAGGGCATAAATGTTTGCATTTTTAGAGCATAATCGGGCAACTTGAAACGCGCAATTTTCCTATCTCTACCCGCTACGCTGCCCTGACCTGTACCCACCCCCCTGCAGCCCCCTTCCCCGAACAAACTGTGATGCTTGGGCCCGGTTGCCTCGGGCTCGGCGGCAGGGAAGGGCTGCCACTGTGACTTTCCAGCTCA